TTTTTTTAAAAAAAAAAACCATGGGTTCAATCATCGAAAGAGTACTCAAAAGTTGATAGATTATGGAACAATTTGATTGAGCAAATGATTAAGTTGAGCAATTGTTACTCTTTTAAAAGAAAGTCACGACTCATAGTCTTACCCCTTCGTGAAATTGAATAATAGTTGAAAAAGAAAAAGGGGGAGGGAAACAACTGCAGTGCAGTGTTGTTTTCAATGACTGTAAACCACTAGAGAGAGGCACTGAAGCTGCATTATTGTGCATGGAGGGACCATATATGAGGGCACAGAAAAAGGAGGAAAACAAAAACATTATGATTCAATATTTGTCAGACATTATCTTTTTCTTCTTTTGGACAACCCAGGTTTGACATCAGTTGCTAAAGCACATGATCATTGTTAATCCCACATTCATATATATCTCACTCCCTTTACTCCATTCGTTATCATAACAAGGTCGTTTCCATGATAAAAGCTTTCAACCAGATAAAGGTTTTCGAGACCTTCAAATTTTCTGATATATATATATATATATATATATGTAGTAGGTCGACATTCCTCATCCAAATCCAATGAACTTTGTAGATAGATCTCAAGGCATTAGGCAATGGTTGGAGTTTGAAAGTGAGAGACATAAAGTAAGCAATGATATTGTGTGTTAAATAATGCAAAATTTAAAGACAAAATCAATTAATGTTTCACATTCAGACTGTTCAGTTTGCTTACCTTGATCTCTTACCGGATATATATATATATATATATATATATATATATATATATATATATATATTGTCTAATCAGTTTGGAATGGATTACCCTTTGGTCAGTAGCTTTGCTTACTTTGTAAGCCACAATTGGTCTCTGGTCAATGTCGTCCCCATTTCTTCACCTTTCGGTCTGATCTTGCAGAAACCCGTTGTCCCTTTTTGGCTCGGCCAAATATGGGGTAGAATGATTCCTCTCGTTTAATTTATCACCAAGTATAAATTAAATATTGTGTCCCAAAATAATTAAACTAAAACAACTGGAAAACAAATTATCACTTTATTCTGATTACTTTTCATTTGTTAAATTATTGAAGATATGGAATGATATAATATATATATATATATATATATATATATATATACCCATTATTGCTTCATAATTTGGCAAACTATTATTGATCAAACCATCGTTTTTCAAAACATTTTGAAAACTTTTTCCCTAAGGAAATAATTAAATCCATTGCTACTTTATCACCTATTTGTAACGGTACTGGCATTCTATTTTAAAGACTTTACATATTGAATTACTTTAATTTGAGTTAATAAGTATTCGATCAATTCCCTGTTTATTAAATATCAATATCATTTTTAACTCCATTGTCTCTTATAAACCTAATGGAAGAACTAGTTGATATGATGCAACTCTGTTTCAAGTTTAAAGGGTCATCAGTTCCTCGTTTATGGATTGTTCATAGAGAAAATTAATTATAAATATCGACTTGATTTAGTAAAAATTATACTTATTTCTAGTGGTTTATAAAATATTTTTTACCTCTTTTTAAAAAGTAACAACTTAAAATAATTATTAAAAAAGTTAACTTGATATACTTTAAAAGAAACATATTATATCAAATGAATCATTAACGTCTTTTGAATGAATCGAATTAATGAAAATAAATGTATTTTTTCATTAAAATCTCAGTGAATTTTGTATTTGATTCGTGGTAAAGGAAAATATTCGGAAACCATAATCAGGTCCAAAGAAGATTGTTGAGACTAAAGGCCTTGTGGTTTTTGATCACCTAACTTCCCCCACCCTAGCTCCTCGCAAAGGGAAAAAGGGTAGGAAGAAAACAGAAAAACCTTCAAGATTCCCTTTCCCTTTGTTGAAGCTTTAGAAACTCTAAATGGAGAGACAATCAGAGGTGTTCAGAATTAGTTCAGACGGGGAATCTGAGGTTGCAAGATTTATCTTACCCTCCATTTGTTGCAGCTTTATTTTTTACGTAAATTTGGCCCCCCATCTCATTTCTCATCATGTCAGTCCAAATCACAAGGACAAAAACACAAGGTGGGTTATCTTTTGAGTACCAAAATTTTCCACGAGGGATAAAGTTTCAGATTCTTATAGTTCCTTCTTTTGGTGTTTTCTCACATGGGAAGTGGCCAAAGACAGAAAAGAGATGTACGTAGTGAATGATAAAGTAAAAGAAAATTTTAGGACAACGCAGGTCGGACCGCTTGGCTACTTCAGTCGGATGATCACCTAGCGCTCCCAATTTCTCATATCACATGTAGTTGGGGCTATCAATCAAATGTTTTCAAGAAATAAAGAAAAGGTGTGTGTCCCATGGATGCTTGGTTGACTTAAAAGGAAACTAATAGTTAGGCTAAAAGGCAATCTAAGATTATCCACATGCAATAGCCTATTATTGAAAAGAAAAAGGTAAATTGATTAATATAGTTTTGCATGTATGTTTATGCTCAAATTAATCATGTAATCCATCTTACAAAAAGTAATTTTTTTATTAAAAAAATAACCTACCTACTCTATATATATATACATATTGACCTACCTAGTTTGAAAAACTAACTTATAGACCAAGAATTAATAATCTTTAGGAGAGATCGATCAATGGAGTCAAAGATTTTGCATACTAGATTGGTGTAGGACAAAGAATAATTAGTATTATTTATCGAACTTATAATATTTGAATTAGTGGGGTTGTACCTTTTCACTTTCACTCGCCTACTTGGCTTCATAGAAAGGGCCCTTAGGCTTGAAAATAATTAAATAAATTCAAGACATTTTCACAACACAAGAATCATTCTTCAGTACAAGTTAAGGGCCAATGATTGTAGAGCCAGCAGATCAGTAGTGGTATAAGAGTTTGATGAGTAGTGGACTAGCAGTCCAAAGTTCAAACTTCTGTTGTTCCCATTAATAAGTAAAGTTTTAATTTCAATGTGACAACTTGATGATCAGGACCAGTGCATGGGCCACTTCCAAAGCTTGAAGCACTTCTATATGAGCTTACAAACTAGCTTGGTCCCAACCTATTTCCAAAGTTCTAGGTCTGATTAATTTGATTATCACTTCCAACCCCCAAACATAAGTTTACAGCTTTTCTTCCATACAACTATACAAGCATACTTCTTCAAGATATATGTGTAGGAAGTCACCTTTTTATGCATCAAACACCTTTTGCATCATAAATTGTTCTCCTTCTCTTCTTCTCATCTTTCCCTATAATATGCCCTTTTATATCAACTAGTAATTATTTGCAAGTAGGTGAAATCACCCCTTTTTCCCCCATTTTGTAGTCGTTAATAGTACACTCACCAATTTTATTTACTCATCACCGATTAGATTTTGCAATTCTGACATTATATTGATAAATTAGTACACCCACCCATCATTAATAGGTCGATCACAGCTTAAAGTAGTAGTCCAATTATATTATAACTTATAAAATTAATTGTTTGCTTATTTGCAATATTTCGGTTGATTTATCAATAAATAAATTAGTTGGGTTTTCTTTTTTTTTTTCCTGTTAGATTGATTAGACGGTGTAACTTACATAGGGAGATCCATGGATGTGAAAAGGAGGTGGGTGCCATCCATCCACCACTTGCATGACTTTATTGCACCAAATTTTGTTCAAACTATAGATTTGGATCCACTATAGTACTAATCTCAATGGAAATAGCTAGGAACAATTTTGAACAATCTATGTTTTGATTTGTGCATTTAATTTGAAGGAAAATGTTAAAACATTCCCACATCATTTAAATAATTACAATAAAAGAAAAGACAATCAACAATTTATACTTGTCTTAGAAATTTTATGGAGTTAAGGATCAATGACAAATTTGAAACTGGTACGTATACAGTGTTATTTTATGTATTTATTGATATTAAACTTGTACTACATACAAGTACTTTTTTTACTATTTATTACCAAAAGAGAGAGTGCAATCCAAGGGGAAAGGTGGACATGATTTTTACAATAAAAATTGGAAAATTAAGCCTAAAATTAGTAGAAGTAAGTTGAATAACAATAAATGAAAGAGGGAAAGAATACCATAGAAACCACAAGAATTTATAGTAGTATATATACTTTACAAAATATGATTAATTTACTTTCACCACCTTCCCTATTCACTAAATATTTTCAAGAATCAATCACAAAGCTTTAGTATAATATTTTAAAAAAATTTTAAATTATTTAAAAAATTTTAAATAAATTTTTATTTTTTTTATTATGTTCAATCAAATACTTATACTTTTATTTTGAGTCGAACAAACTAATTAAGAGTTGTCTAACTATTATTAGTTAAAATTGTATTTTTTATTCTATGTTATATGATGTTGAGGTGATATATTGACATGTTATAATGTATAATGACGTGATATAATAATATAGAAATATGACATTTTTACTCTTTATGTGAATATCATGTTAACACTTTATGATATAAAATGATAAATAATATTTTAATTAATAATAATTAATTAATTATTAATAATAAAAGTTTATTTGATAAAAATAGAAATATAAGAAATTGATTAAATGTAATAAAAAATAAAATTTTATTTAAAATTTTTTAAATAATTTATTTATTTATTTTTTATTAACATCATGCCTTTAAACAACCTCTGGCCAAACCTAAACCAAAAATTTTTATCTAACACTCTAGATATTCTTGGCCCAAAGCATATAGTATATCATAATATTTGACTCTTATGGGTTGGACAAAGATATAATCCAAGCCATAATTAAGATAAAATATTTTTTAAAAACATTTTTATCATTTATTTTTTACAACACAGGCAGTCACAATTTCTGAGGTTACTTATTTATCTATGAAAAAGAAAAAGAAAAAGAAAATGTAGAACATGATTTGTTGGTAAACGCCTCCCACCGTTCCACGTCACCTAGAAAAAAAAAACGTGTCTACCCGTCTCACGGTAGCAGCAGATTATTCTTCCTTTTTAACTAACGCCACTGAGGGAGAAGGCTGAAGGCCTGCTTTCGCTGCTTAAAACGCTCTTCACGTCTCTTGTTATGGTCTTTATCTTCGCCACTCGCTGACTCCTTCAGTTCTCCCTTGTTCATTTTGTCATTTCCTTATATTCTACATCTTTGCAGACGTGCTTCATTTTTGCATTCTGGGGTGCTTATTTTCTGCCCATTTAGTCGTTCTCTTTGACCCCTTAATTACAATGTTTTAATGCAATTTTTCTTTTCTGATTTCTTCTGTCATAGCTTACCAAGATTTTTGTGGGTTTGCATGATTTTCTTGTTTGCTTAATTGCAAAAGTTTCCAAGAAAATGGCTGTAGAACTTTGCTCAGAAAATTCTGGTATGAGTCCAAGGATTTCGTTTTCTCATGATCTTTGTCATTTTGATGTTGTGCCCGTTGAGCAACGCCCTCTTAGGTCAAAATCTTCAGGCTTAAATTCAAGCATTGATTTCGACTTCTGCGTCCGTGAAAGCTTGGAGCAACAATCATCATCAGCTGATGAGCTTTTCTCTGATGGAAAAATCCTTCCCACTGAGATCAAGAAAACGAACGTCCCATCGAAACAAACTGATCAATCTACATCCCCACTGCCATTGCCACGATCAAATTCTGTTCATGACGATGCTAACATTAACGAGACTTCGAAGAAAGAAAGCTCCAAAGAGAACAAGATTACGCGGGACGAAACAGGGGATGACGTAGATGAGAAGCAAAGTTCCAAGTCGTTTTGGCGTTTCAAGAGGAGTAGCAGCTTGAATTGTGGGAGTGGATATGGGAGAAGCTTGTGTCCCTTGCCACTTTTGTCAAGAAGCAATTCAACAGGCTCTACACCAAATGTTAAACAAGCTTCAATTTCGAAAGATTCCCATCACCATAAGCAGAATGCACAGAAACATGCTACTAATTCCTCCTATAAGTCTTCAACAAGTTATCAGAAGCCTCCATTGAGGAAGGGTTATAAGCCTTATGGTAATGTTGTTCAAGTTAACCCTGTCCTGAATGTTCCTTCTGGCAATATGTTTGGTTTAGGTTCAATCTTCTTCACTGGCAAAGATAAGAACCACAGGAAGAAATAATTGATAATTCACTCTAATCATGATTACGTTTTTCCACCTTGAAGATTTGTTGGATTGGTGTTTTCTTTTTTTTTTTTTTATCTTTTTCCTATTTCCATTTCTGTTTGTTGATTGCCATGTGAGTAGGAGAACTGAATGTAGTATGGATAGGCCAAAAAAGAAACAACAAAGAAGCAAAGACATTTCTCTTAAGAAGACAAAAGAAGATAGAAATGTCAATGGATGGAGGGCCAGGGGGAAAGATATAATTCAATGGCACATGCTTTGGAAAAACAAAAATGACAGGTAACCACTGCTTCCACGGTTGTCACATGCTGTTTTCTGTTTTTTTCTCTTCTCTTCGCACTGGTATTTGCTCTGCAAACCTCATTTTCTTTCTGTATATAGTACGTTTTAAGTTTGCTGGCGATGGTATCTTGGAATCTTACTTGATTTTTGGTCTTCGGAGAAAATATAAATCGGTTGGTTTCTGATTGTTCTTGTTTGGATTGACAGATTGTGAGAAAACTAGTTGCTGTAATTAGTTAATTCATCAAGATGAATCAAAGAACAACAGTTATATACTCTCATTTACTGCTTACTTTCCATTGGCGCACACAAGTCATGTTTCACCCTGTAAAAGAAGTGGAGCTTGAATCCTGTTATGGCTTGAGCTAGTTATCCAACTACAATTCCAAAAAGAAGTACTACAAGGTTCAATATAATTGTAAAAGATGTTTTTAGCATCAAAGCTTAATAGAACTGGACTTGAGTTCGTCTCAATATTTTCCACCTCTTCAAAGTCATTATACGGTTGCTATGATCAAAGAAAGATAACTGGAATAATGGGATTTTTATGCTTACTTGCAAATAAGATGGATCTGCTCTTTTACCATAGTTCTCGTAATATGCAGATTTGAATACTTGATCAAGCTAATAGAGAGTTAACAGGGAGATTGCCAGAGATACTGTGAAGCAAAAAAGATGCCATGCTTTGTACTTTATTAGTTGTATATTTCTTATTCTTCTAGATTCTAGTTCACACATGATTCATGCACTATTGATTTCCTTAGTGTTTAAGGGCTTTAAAATGGCTGTTTATCCAGCAAATTTTGAGCATAATATAAAAAGGGTGCTTCATTTTGCTAGAGGAATAATTCTGCTTTTGGTTGTAATTGTCAAATGGATGATGTTTATAATCTGGATTCCTTTGAAAATTATAGTGTTATGTAGCTTTTTCAGTCATGAATAGCTCTTTTCTATCAGTTCATCTATCCAGTCATGAAAATCATAATACAGCAATATTAGGCATTGGTCTTGGCAAATCAAATCATTGATCAATGCATGGTTCTCTGGGAACTTTTGTCCCAATCTGGTGTTCGGTAAATTTTTGTTTCAGCTTTCTAGTTCTAAGAAACCAAAAGACATATTGATAGGTACACCTAAGCTTGCCTTTGGTTAGGTGGCATTACTTTTGATTGGCCTTTGTCACCTTATGATATAATAATTGATAAGCTTATCAGTTTCATAGGACACCATGAGAGGTATTTAGGTATTTCTAACTTGTATGTTGAGTGGTCTGCAAATTTTGAAGCTTGATGGAGCCCTAAAACTGACTAAATTGACGGCTCCCTTGTTTGGTTGGTGAGAAAATAAAACTTTGCCAGCTTAACTGCACTCAACATAATTTCTTGATAAGAAAGATAAAGGAAACAGAACTAATCGACAATATGTGTCTTCCATTGTAGCCGGCTTTATCATGCTAAGCCCCACTGCAACCATTCACTTACAATATACAATTAGCCTTACATGAACTCAACTATGTATCAATAGTGTTGGGGGAAAATCAGAAACTCCCTAGTAATGAAACATGTTCCAGGTAGCAGGAAAATAATTAGAACATGATTATTATACTGCTCTTTTTCAGCTTATTCGTGATGCAATTTTCTGAAGGAGACAATGAACATCAATTGGTCTTCGAATCAAGCATTTATTTTATAAACAACTCTGCTTTAAAGTTAATTAGTGGCAAAACCTGTCTGGTGAATTGACCTGTATCCAACATTGTTCAATATATACCTGAACCTCAAACACCAGTGTTACTAATTAGCACTAAACTGAGAACCTCTTCGCTTGGTCAGTACTATGCCGATGACATTGAACTTGAAGGAGAAACTTGTATCATATGCTGTCTAGGCATTGAAACATAACTGCCTGATGGAAGGAACCAAGGTGTTACACAGATTAACCTTGACTAGCATGCCAAAACCCCATTAGTTGATAGAATGGAACATGTATGATCAAGGCTTTTGAGTATTTTAACCTTCTGGGGATCGCCAACATGCATAGTCTCAAGTTAAGTCATCTACCAGCTCTAGCTGTAGGCATCTGCCTCTTCTTGTTGTAAGCATCCATTAGTTTCTGCAACACAAACATCAATAGCAAGAGTTGAGTAAGCTTGTTCCATTGATCATCAGCTGATTGACACAACAAAAGGCATTGATTTCGGAACAGTAAAACAAAATTTTTAGTTTGATAATTAGTCATTGAATAAAAATTTTGCCCCAAATTAACAGATGAAAACAGATAAGAGAATAGTAGAAGATGCTTATATATCATGCCATTCAAATTTTTGTGGTCAGTATACTAACAAAATTCAGTATCATTCTTAAATTTTCCCCCCATACCGTAGATTAAATACATTCCTCCCACATAAACAAAATCTAACATAAACATCCTTAGCCGACAAAAATCTTTGATTTGCCATGTAGTTGTCATAGAAAGCATCACTGAAGCTAGATTAACATGCCTAATTAACCTTGCAATGCAATCATGCACAGTATCGGAAATCGACATTAGCAATTGGAACTCACATGAAAGTATAATTATGTTTGAACAGGATTTTCAAATTATAGCATAACACTTTCCCACATATGATAATGACACCTCCAAAAAGTTTTTATTTCTACCAATGAGATTGCTGATTAATGGAACTCAATTCAATCAGACAAGGACTTTGTTGCTAATTAAACGATTACATGGAGGTGTTTTCTCGACTTCTTGTCGATGTTTTATTCATCACTACAAGCTCTTGTCTGTGCCACGAAAGAGAGCTCTAGAAATCAAAAGAGAGGAAATGACTTGGGAGACATTAATGTAACATTTGATTCGACATATTATCACCATATTATTATCTTAAACATAGACACAGAAGTTGTTTATAATTTTTAGTAGAGCAATTAATGTGACGTTTGGGAGTAGCTAAATTGTTATAATAGAAACATTGGTGTTTAATTAAACAGCCAAAATTGACCAATTTAAATAACCTATAACCTTTATTATGCCCAATACGACATTTGATGTTGTTATGAGGTGAGCAAATATTAATGTTAACTACTTCAATGTGCTGCCTAGGACAATGAAAAGTGGATTAAAATTATAATCGGTTAATTTTAACTGTATTGAAAGTATTGAAAAATAATATTTAAATATAAAATGTTGACTTTCTATTAAAAAACAGTCATATATGTATGCCTTTACTGTTTTGAAATTTTGCGTTTGAAGCTGAAATTATTGGAGTGAAAGCCCAGATAAGAGTAGACTTGTAAACGGGCTCAGTTTGAATCTGTTGTAGCCAGGCCCAAAGCCTTTTTTGAACAACTTACTTCTGTCTGCCTATAAACCCTATTTCAATGTTAAAAACAACAAAAATTACTTTTACATTAATGCTATGATCTAATTTTTTTTCTATCAAATATGTTTTAATAATAACGTTTGTGTACTAAATCATTACCAAAAAAGTCTGTCGTGGACAAAACCTATTAAAATATATTTGAATTGGAAAAAATAACATTTTAATATATTTTGAAAAGAACACAATTGGTAATAAAGGGTAAATGTTTCAAGTACTTTGAAATGCTTTTAATATTGTAAAATTTTACTATAGAATCTACGTGAGATGGAGACATTGATCAGTGAGATGGAGAGATACTGGCCCCTAATCTTGGCTCAACCTACAAGGAAGTATTCATATATATAAAGATGCATTTGGAGTGGAGACTCTGTTCTTTGCCAACTAAACTAATCATGTGATAAAAATTAAATATTATAAGTTTTAAGGTGGCATTTAAAAAATTACACATGAAATTCCCAAGCAAAGACCTAATCAAAAGTCCAAACCAACAAAGGATTGGAACCTGGTTTTTGAAATGAGGAATTGGATACCTTTAGTCAACCTGAGACCGAGTCTATTCACATCTCTCCATGAATAAGCTCCTAAAAGTTAACGAATCTTATATATTTGTTGAAGCTAATTGTGGGGATCTACAATTTCAACCTTCCAAATAAGGATACGTTTTGCTTTGCTGTTGTCACGTTGCAGCCTTGGTTGCAGAGTCATTTGACGCTTCCTTTATTTTAATTTTCTCCAGGACTTGCCACTTTAAGGGTTTCAAACCTTCCAGAAGTAAAAACTTTTCCAACTTACAATTTTCCTACAATTTAATCTTCCATGCAACTTTCTTTTGACTCTGGGTCTTCCTTTCTGCTTTTGATTGGATTTTGCTGTTGCACTTTCCACTATAAAACCATTATTTCCATTCAAGGACGTTTCATATTTTCTCTTGTAGAATAGGCAATGGCTATCGATTTATGTCCTGCGGAAGCCATTCCAAGAACCTCGTTTTCTCTTGATTTCGGTTCATCGACAATTTCTCCATTGCAACAGTGCTGCCCTCTCCGATCAACTTCCTTTCCCTTGAATTCGAGCATTGATTTCGAGTTCGATGTTCGGATCAATAGTATTGATCAAGAATGTTATTCATCAGCAGATGAGCTCTTCTCCAATGGTAAAATCCTTCCAATTCGAATCAAGAAAAACATTTCCCCATCTAAACAAGATCAGCAACAGCCAACATCCCACAAACCCCAACCTCAAGCTAGAAATGCTAGCTCAAAGGATATCGAGGTTGCAAGTAAAGAACCAAATGATCGGAATCAAAGTTCCAAGTCATTTTGGCTGTTCAAAAGGAGCAGTAGTTTGAATTTTGTCAGCGGATATAAGCGGAGGCTATGTCCATCAAAACTTTTATCAAGAAGTAGTTCAACAGGGTCAGCTCCAAAGGTGAAACCAGGGCCAGTTTTGAAAGATGCTCATGGACCTCATGTTATTGGTAATCACAGGCATAACAATCATAAGGAGAAGTCTTTGCCATCTCTGCAGTCTTCAACAAGTAACCAAAAGTCTCCTTTGAAGAAGAGTTTTACTTACAGATCCCCTGCCAATGCTGTGACAATCAATCCTGCTCTGAATGTTCCCTTGGTGGATATCTTTTGTCTAAGTTCAGTCTTCTTATCTGGCAAAGATAAGAAGAAGTAACTAAGCAAAAAATCACAGTTATATGAGACATGAAAAAGCAAATAGAATTTCTTCTCTTAAGTGCAAAGCTTTGGGTTTTGTCATTTTTTTCAAAGATAGAATCAAAGCCTAGGAGACGGGTGGCACAGAATCAGAGATGAAAAGGTGGGGCTAAAGTAGGATCAAGAAATGATGCTGACATTGCCAAAGGCTTCCAAGCACAAAATGTTAACCTTGTTTGCCGTAATGCTGCTCCATTCTGTTCTGCGTTTTTCCAGCTTTTGACCTGCTACAGGCTGACGCATGTGGTATAATTTTCGTACTAACAATTTCTGGCTCCTTTTCTCTGTTACCCCATACCTGCTTTTTAGTGTGTTCGCATGGTGTAACGAGAAAAGAAAATATTGTTTTGGTTTGGTTTTAGTCAAAAACATGGGATGGCTTTGGTCTTGTTTGTAATCAACTACACATTTGAATCAGAAATGATTAGATTGTTAAAAGTGGTAATGAGATAATCTATGATTAAGTGTGGCCCTTTCTTGCTAATATATACTACTAATTATGTTGCTAACCACCCAACTATGATTGAACAATAGTCAATGCTACAGTTACTTGTGTGATTAGTGTATGGAGTAAATTAAAACTCTTCATACATAAACAAACTAAATGATTTTTTTTTCTCATTTTGGAGTCAACATATACATACATTCAATCATTTTTTAGTGATAACCAATGTTGATTAATGGATTATTGCTTCATTCTCCAACTCCTTTTTGATCAAGGGTACTCATTACAGGGTATAAGTTAGGAAGATTTTCTTATGTGAAGGTTATAGTATTCACCATTAAAAATGGAAGATGTAACTAATAAAATTATATATAAAGGTAGAGAATCAACAAAAGAATACATACATTAAAAAACAAATTCACTAGACCAGGCCCAATTGAAAGCAATAGAGTTTGTACTGCTCAAAAAGTCAAAAGAAGCCAATTATTTTTTGGAAATGAATATAAAGACAAACTACATTTATTACAATACCTTATGCATCTTCTCTTTCATTTTCATCTTCATTTGGATATATAATTTGTTTGTAATATCTTTTTCTTGGAGTTAATTAAATATACCTAAGCATAGAATATTTCCATAGCATGCTTAATTATTATGAGATTGATAGTAGGAGCATCACGACCGAACATTACAGGATTCAGTTGTCTCCTTCCCCTCCCTTATTTATGATTTTAATGTATTGTTCTTCTTTTTTGGTGCAACTTGGGTCTGCTGCATTGACTGGTCCCATTATTACCAAGCTCTATATTACCGCCTTGTCAATTTCTTCTGAATTTCTCGAAACGATTGAGAATAATGGCTAAAACTATTATATTCTCTTTCTATTTTTGTTTTCTCACAATATTACACGTACAAACAGAAAAATAAAAGAATAATTCTAAGTATATATGACGTAATTATGTCATCTTGTAGACGAAACTAAATAGAAACAAATAAATAAAAATCAATGTGAAGTTAGATCAAATCTACATTTAAAAGAATACTATTTGAATTTGAAATTTTCAAAATCTTTTTATGAATAGAAGAGAAATTTTATATTTTAAATTGTATATTTCACAAAGAGACTAATATGCTTGTACATGTAACATTATCGTAACTGTTTCATAATCCAATAATATCGTAATTTTACTGATTTAGTTCATAATTTTGTATAATTACGATGATTATGTAAAAGTCCCCTCAAACTTAAGAGGGTCAAGTAGATGTTATCTTAATTTGTAAAACTAATTTTTAAAATCAACTAGAAAGATAAGTTTTTGGTTTGATTTAAAGAGAATATAAAAATCAAATAAAGAGTTCATTTGGTCGCATAATGACACACAAAGTAATAATCAATTTCAAAATATTTTATGCTTTTATGAAACACAGCATTGTGATAGCACTGCAATAATCATAGTAAAAGACAATGACAAAAGATTGGACGATACCCATATCCTTCAACAATTTGATTCTTGTTTCATCAAGAAATGAGAGAATCGTCCAAAAAGAAACAGAAACTAGTGGTTGAATGACAATCTATACGATCACTTGTCTAGTCAAAATCAGAATATAATCGGATAGAAAACGAAGTCCATGAAAGAGTGTGCTTTTGATATAACAAATAATACGAATAGCAGCTGAAAATGAGATGAACGAGGAGCAGTCATAAATTGGTTGAGTAGATAAAGGCCATGAGCAGTATCAGGTGAAGTCGCTATGAGATAAAGCGAACTCTCAAACAGTTGGCAATATAAATTAAGATTACGAAGAGGAGTATTGTCCATGTGAATAAGTTTAACATTAAATTCCAAGGGAGTGAAAGACAATCTTGTCGTCGGTAATACCAACTCGAGAATGAAAGTCATTTGCATACTTAGCTTAAGAGTGGTAGAAGCCATTAGAGTTAAATTAAAAAAACTTCAAGTCCCAAAAGAAACAAAATTAAGAGAGCCAAAATCTTTCATTTCAAATTGTTAAGTCAAATATTATTATAACTAGACTATATCCATGCGATTCACTGATATAAGTAAAATAATGTTTGTTTAAATATATTTACATTTCAATAATCATAAGGTGTTCACTTTATATAAGTAATCATGAACTTATTTATCAATTGAAATGTATATAGAAGAGGTCAAAAATTACATAACTGTTCAGGCGATAATTTATTTTAAGAGTTATAAATGTAAACTGCACTATACAATTTAAGAACATATAAAATACATGATAAATGACTAACATTTCAACAACGTTAACATTTGATCTCTGTGAAACTTATTTTTCAATAATAATAATAAGCATTCCAATTTTTATAAAAACCGTGAAAGAATAACCACAAAAAAAATACTAAACTAAATCTCACAAAAGCTCAAGTAAATTGTTGTTTAAAATAAAGAAGTATAACCACACGATAAAAAAAATAGAAACTTATATCAAATAATAAAGAATCCAAATAATAAAAGCTTGAATAATCAAATCAAATGAGATAAAAAGAAAGAAAATTAGAAACTTACATCAAACTTTCTGGTTTCTATATGAAAGCAATAATATTATAAGAAATAATAAAAATTAGATAAATAGAAAATTATGGAATTAATTTTCAATTGATTATTTTTTTTTATGCAGTTGAGCATTTTGCTCATTGGTTGGCATATATCTTTTTGTTTAGAAAGCAAGTTCAAATCTTCACTCCCCAGTTAAAAAATTATCTTTTATTCTTATCATTTTTTAAACTAATTTCATAAAATTGAATTAAAGCATAAATTAAAGTTAAATAAATAAAATTGAATTAAAGTGTAAATTAAAATTAAATAAATTAAATAAGATGAAGAATAAAAGAGAAAAATAAGAGAGAAGACGTTTCTCTCTATCTAATATATTAAATCAATTAAAAAATCACAAATATAAATTTGTATTTTTTTTTCTTTTTGCTCGTATCGTTAACTCTCTCTTGCTTGATCTCTCCTCTTTTCTCTTCCTATTCTCATATTCTTTCTTCAAAATTTTCCTCTAACCAAGAAAGAAAGCAAGAAGACAGTCCAATGAAAAGAAGAAAATCTTGGAACCATGGTATTAAGAAAAGACAGAAATGGCATGAGCTCAAAAGCACAAAAAGTAATAAAAAAAACAAACCTTGATTTTGTCAAAAAGTGCAAGCATCTCTAAAGACTCAATTGGCCATGTCATGTGGCAAACAATTAGACCTTCAATTATCTGTTGGGATAATTTTTAATATATGTAGATGTAAATTTTACAATACAAGTCTAAGTTATAATCATATCATCTATATAGTGAAGAAGAAAAACAATACCATAATTAATATAGTGAATAAATAATGCATAATCATGAAGGTTAGAATTAAGACCAAATTGAGTAATAAGGGAATTATATCTTTCAAACCAAGCTCTAGGTGCTTGTTTCAAAAGCACGTAAGACTCATTGAAACTTACTGACTTTATGAGGAGGATGGTAGTAACCGTAAAAGATTCCCTGAAACTTCTTCATGTACATTTTAACTTTGATTATTATTCGGTATTGATTATCTTATTCCAAAAATTGATAAGCTAATCATTGACATAATACTAAAAAAACCTTTAAATTATTTAAAAAAAATTAAAAAATTATCAATTTTTATTACATTCGATTATATTTTTTATATTTTTATTTCAAATTAAATAAGCTTTTACCAACAAATGTTTTTATTGATGAAGTATTAATATTGTTAACGAAATATATCGACTGAATGACAATACCGACGACCGCTTTCTTGACCGTTTTAACGACAAAAGTAATCCATTGGTAAAGCTCAATACCGATGAAATTTAGAACTTTATCGATAGAATATTTGGTTGATAATAATTAATTTTTTTGTAGTGTTAGTTTATAATCTATACAATTACAATAATTATGTTAATATGTATATGTATTTTTACAGAAAAGAAGGTGTAAGGAAGAGCAAAGATTCAAATTTTAAACTTAAATTTTCTTTAAAAACGTTAAATTCATTGGTTAAATATAAGTTTTCAGAACTTTCTCTTCTGAGATATGACTTCATAGGCTGCTATGTTGGTTCAACGGAGACTCCCTTTTATTGATCAAGCTGGCTTCGTAACTAGTTAGTCTACCGGTCCTACCGTCATTCTTCCCTTTTACCTCCTACTTCCTTTAATTTTTCATTAAAAAAAAATTAAAGACTTACCTGAATTTTTAAACCAGTTGTCACTAGAATTGATGTCTCAAAACCGAAATTAAAGAGAGTTGTCATCTAGCTGAATACAAATTCATTGTTGTTGTGACCACAGATTAAATTCATTACAATATTTATGGTTATAGGATAAATTTTTTTTTTTTGAGATTTGAAGAAAATAAATTCGAACTTTACTCTTTAAATAGAAAAGCATGTAACAATTAATAAACAAAATGTTCGAGTGCTAGTTATATGACTAAATTGGTTTCATTTTTGTTCATTACATTATATAAATTTAGAACTTGGAGACAAAATTTTTGAAGGGTGGGTTTCCCATCTAAAGAAAAACAATAAAATTAGGTAAGATATTGTAATAAATGTAATTAAATACAAAATCAATTTAACCCTATTTCACGGATGAAAAGTTATTTAATGTTTAGCAAGAGTTATGTTGAGGACAATTATTGTTATTATTTATTACGTAGAGGGTGATGATCAAATGCAAATCATTTTGAGCATGGCTAATATAAAATTGTTAGTAGCAAAATTCACACATAAAAATGGCACATGGATTATTGAAATTAAATAAAGAATGTGTTCCTTGGTATTTACGAAAGTTGAAACTTCAAACTGATTTCAAGTCCATGCTAAGGCCAAGACAAATCAATGGTCAAACCAACTTAATCACCCAATACTTAAGGATCTAAGTTAGAATACTTTTTGTCTCTTAGTAGACATCCAAACGACCTGCGAAATACTAAAATCATTCAATTAAAAAAAATGTCACCTTACTCCTTTCAGTTGCTTCCTCAACGTTGCTATCTCACTTTGGTTAGAATTGAATTTATTATGGATTTATAGTTAAGTTGGATTCCTCATTTATTTTTAATTAATTTTAGGTTGAGTATTTAATATTTAATATATTAATTATAATAATATTAATACCTTTTTTTGTTGGTAAAATTTAGAATAAGATAGACGTAAGCTACTTAAACAGTCAAATTAAGATACAAATTTGTAGCTTTTTTTCAGTGGTTTTCTATAAATGATTATATAATGAGTAGATAATATTATTTTATTGGTATCATACTTTTAAAAAATTTTGAATTATTCAAAACCATTTAAATAAATTTTGATTTTCCTATTACATTCAATCAAATCTTTATATTTTTATTTTTAATCAAATAAGTTTTTATAATTATTGATTGATTAAAAAATTATTTATCATTTTATACCCAAATAACGTTAACATAACACTAATTTATAGGAAAACTGAAAATATTACATGATGATATTATCATACTGTTTCAATATATCATGTGATATAAAATGACAAATGATATTTTAATTAATAAAAATTAATCAACTACTAATTATAAAGATTTATCTTATTTAAAATAAAAGTACAAAAACTTAATTAAACATAATAAATTAATAAGTGTTTATGTGAACATTCTTAAAAAATTCAAAAATTTTTCAAATATTTTGTTTATTTTATTTAAATAATTAAATGATTCAAATGCTCATAAATAACATAACAATAATTACACAATCAAATTATCAACAGCTTTCATATTTTATTTAAGTCTTATCATAAATAATATTAATGACATGCCATAAAAGTAGTGAAACGAATTAATCAATAAAATCAATGCTTCCTCCATATATATATATATAATAATAATAATAATAATATTTTGATGTCACCCAACAGAAGCCTTTTTATCATATTCATATATTCAAATGCACAGAGCAATTCAGCAGAAACTTTGACGTCGGTTTTTTTTAAGACCATTGCCGGGAACATGGAAACTCACGTGCGTATTTTAATATTATCACTGTCGCAACAGCTTAAGTCAAAGTTGAACTGTTTTGCTTTGTTTTCACGATAAGCCCACCGCTCCGACGAAATCCACTCTGGCTTTGAGGATATTCAGGTAATTCAAAAAGCTTAATTTTGTCCACGTGGTTACGTCGTACAGCGAGTATCTGAACTTGCTGTCCCCCTGAGAGTAGGGTATGACAGATTTGGTGAATTTTTTTTTTCTATTTGTTGGGTTTATGCAGAGTTGAAAAGGGTGTTGGAAGCTGAAGCTAAAGCTAAAGCTGAGCTACGCGTAGTGACAGCTCAAGGTGGGGAGACAGACGTGGACTCGAGGACACAAGACAGCCAGCCCCATGTCTGTCTTCACTCTTGTCTCTACTTCCATTTTCTTTTTATTTATTTATTTATTTTTTAAGTCTAATGGAGTTATGTTATGGTGCAATAGAGAAGAAGCTGTCGCTCGTGGCTACTGAAGCCAAATATCGTGCTGTTGTTGTCGCTGTCTCCGAGTTAACTTGGATTTAATCACTACTTTCTTCTGAGTTAAGAGTTACAATTTTATTTGCTCCTTTCAGGCTATTGCAACAACCTATGTTTGTGTTAAAACCCAATTTATCTGTATTAAGTTGTTGTCTCTCATTTATTTGTAATGTTACAGTAGATCACTCTTCATCATACGTACTAATTATATCAATCATTTAAGTTTAGAATATAATTTTATTATCTTCCATTATATTTTAGAGCTTGGCTATATATAAAACCAATATTATACATAACTTGAAGTTAAAAAAAAAAAAACAAAGAGCAATGACTCCTAGTGGTTCATTCTACTACTAATAGATAAACCTAAAAAGATAGCCACAATTGAACGAGGAATTATGAGTACAAGTCAAACATCTTCGCTTTCCGTAAACCTAATTTTTTTTTTCTGCTTAGAAATCTCCACTATTTTTGGCTGAGCCTAAAGAGGCGGCCATTATTGAAGAGCAATTGTGTATTGAAGTCAAATTATGTTTTTTTCCTTCTTTAGGTAGAACCTAATTTTTCCTCTTCAAGTTTAACTTTTTTATTTGTTAATTGCGGTTGAAAAAAATAAAGCGATATTTAATAATAATTCATTGTAATAACAACATACTAAGTAGTATAATTCAAACCGCAAAGAAATTTTTGTGTCACAGTTACGTAAAGGTGTGGTGTGCATTTGATTCCACTACTTATAAAATTTTTATTATTTATTTATTTATATTATTATGTTCTGGGATTCTTGAGCTTAGCTGCAAGAGCGGAAGAAATCTCACAATTTTGTTCATTTGACAGACCATTTGACCACAGACAAAAGCTTCTTCAGTGCGCGTGAAGCTGCTCTTCACAGCAGCAACAGCAGCAGCAGCAGCCGTAGATTAGTCCCTTCCAAAGCTCTCCCTTTTCACTGCCAAATGCCAACTTCATCCAATTCTTCAAAAAGCCTTTTCCTTTCCTCGATCTTTTCAAACAAAAGCATCTCATTTCTCCCTCACATTCTCAGTATTTTCACAGTTACTTTCTCTTCTCCCCTTTCCCTTTCCTTCCTTTCGCTTTTGTTCTTCTTTTGTATCCCATCATTCCTTCTTTCTGAAACGAATCATTTTGCCTTTGCGTCAAGACATGTAAATAAAAACTAAAACCCTTACTTCTCTGCTCTGTTCCGTCGCTTTCTTACTCTCCTTCACATTATTGCAAGGCCCTCTCCTCTTCTAGATTCGTCCTCCTTTCTTGCTACATTGCCCTTTTCATAGTTTTCGGACCTTTCTTTGCCAGCAGACTAAAGAGCTTTCTTTTTTTTTTTTAGTTCTTCATGGGCTTGTTTTTGTGCTTTGGGTGTTGGATTGTTGAGTGTTTGCGAAAATGATTAAACTTGAGTATTTTTTTTATTTATTTAAAATTCTTTGTCTGGGTTTTTGCTGTGAAGTGTCGGTGGTAAGAGAAATGAATGAACAGACCAGTAAAGCGGCGTCGACTTTGGCTATAACGGAGAAGAAGCCTCATAGGCCTGGTGGCTGTGTCGGCATTTTCTTTCAACTCTTTGATTGGAACAGAAGATTTGCAAAGAAGAAACTTTTCTCCAGAAAATTACTTCCTCCTGGTAACTTTATTTTGTTCAATTTATTTATTTTTTTTAACATGCAAAGTTTTCCTTTTGACTAAAAACGATTGATTTTTTTGAACTGTGTTGTTTCTCAGCTCGTACAAAAGCTTCAAAAAGATTTAGAGGAGATGAAAAAATGCCTAAATCCAAGCCTCATTTGGTATGTGTTGGGATCTTTACTTTTCCTTTTTTTTGTATTTTTTTTGTTTTAGTTTAATGGATTAGTTACTTATTTTGCTTATATAAGAAAACAAATTTCATGTTTATGTGAAATTGATAGATTGCTGATGAGAACAGTGGGGGTTTTCCAAATGTGAAGAAGAATGGTAAGCATAGTAATGGAGAAATGGAGCTAAAGCATGAGATGCGATCTCCGGGTTTGGTTGCTAGGCTAATGGGATTAGAATCCATGCCAGCTGTGAATAGGGATAAGTCTAATAGGAAAGCTCCGGTTTCAGGTAGTAATTCTGATGTTAGAGATGAGAAAATGGTGAATAGTCACAGTGTGGTTAATGGGGAGGATTTGGCTTTGGAGAAAGGTAGCGCCAAAGTTGAGCTAAGGCCTCCGAAGATTCAGAAGATAGAGTCCTATGATAGACGGGCTGTTACTAGGTTTGGAGCCGAGGCATTGCAAATTAAGGGTGTTTTGTCACGATCCAAAAAGCATCAACATCAAAAGTTTGTTTCTCCAGTTAAGAGTCCCAGGATTTCTTCTGCAAGGAATGCATCTAGGGCGTCTAGGTTGATTGATGCTGCTGCTAAAATTCTGGAACCTGGGTTGCAAGCTACAAATAGAGCAAAATATGCTCTTGCTTATTCAAGTTCTATGCATTATTCGGCTAAGAATGAGGTTGTAACTGAGGGAATTGGGATTGTCTCACCAGATGTGTTGAAACAATCTGCTTGTAATGTTGGCACTGCTAAGTCTTTGATGGGCCATACATCTTGCAAAAACTGTGGCAATTTGCTTGATGTAGTGGAGTCTAGAGCAAAGTTGGAGGAGCAGTCATTTGTTTGTCCTTACTTTGCTCCAAATTTGGTAGATTCTTCTTCTCAAGGATTAGAAAAGAATTGGCCAAGGCCTTCCCCGTCCTCCGTAAGTCTAGGGAAAGAGGTAATTTTCCAGAGATGCCATGAGCAACCATTATCTTTTACCGGTCAAGAAGAGGAAAGTGTACAGTCCGGCTGTGATTCCAATACATCTAGGAAGCCTATATCTCAAGAAGTTAAAGCTCAATGGCATTTGACAAGCCAACCCGGCAAACCTCAAAGGAATGAAAAGTCTCCTATTGCTTTCAAGCCGAGGAATCAAACTCAAAATCATATATCTCTAGACAGGGATAGAATCCCAGCAAGGCCTAAATTAAATAATCTTCAAAGTAGGAGAGCTGTTTCTGCTGCAAATGCTGTTAGTGCAGCCAAGGATTTTGTTTCCCTGAACAGAAGTGTTAGTAGTCGCACTAGACTTAGAGTGCCAACCAAAGTGGATAGTTCTCTGATTGAAATTGAGAGCAAATCTTCTAGCCATCGAGATGATTCCTTGTCACAGTTAAGATCTCCAGGAAGAAAGAGGAGAACAATTAGTGTTAATGGGCAAGCTGAAAGTGCAGGTTTCATCAATTCAGCAATTGGAAAAGAAGGAAATGCTAAATGTAATCCAGGGACTAGAAGAGAAATAGTGCGTGGTGCTCGCTTCATGGAACAGACCTGTGCTAAAAGCAGATCAACAAGCCAGGAAACTGGTAATGGAGCCAGTGGCAAAAATGAAACTGATATTATTTCTTTCACATTTAATTCCCCACTAAAGCAAAACCATGGCATTTCCATGGAAGTGAAGGACAAAAGAAAGGATCAAAATCACATTCATTATGGAAGCACTTCCCTCCAGCGAAAAGAAATATTGGAAGGCAATTGTGGAGAAACTTCTTTGCATAAGAACATGCCACTGACAGGAGATGCTCTAAGTGTTCTTTTGGAACAAAAATTGAAGGAATTGACTTCTCAAGAGGAGGATGAACTGAAAACAGGTTGTACTCTACCAAAGAGATCAACTGCCATGATTCTCCAGGAGTTAATTTCTGCTTTAACTTCAGAGCAGCTTATCTCTCAGAATGGTTACCTGTTTAATTCAGATATGGCTCTCCAGGTTGGTATTTGTATTCTGATGCACTTAAATCTCCGTTCTTCCTTTGGTTTTTTCAGTTCTTGATTAAATATTTAATCTCTTATATATGGTCTTTTTTGAATTTGATGTTGTTGTCCTCGGTCCCAACTTGCATTTTTAGTTCTCTGACAATGACATCTACCTCAGTTATTTTGAAGTACTGTTTATCAGGGATAAAATGCATGTAGAAAGATATAAGAATGCCTTTTCACCAACCCATTACCTGGGTGTGGCCCAGCAGTTTTTATTCCCTGAGTGGGATCAGGATTCAGGGTTCAACACCCCCTCCCACCTGAAGGAATGAGCAAAAAAGGAAAAGAAAGTCTAGTCTTGTACTGATCATTGGAAGGTTTGAAGGACCTTTTGCACATTATTGCAATTGAATAATTAAACTGCCTAATTGCTCCTGAAGTACTAAATTAATTGAATTGAAGAATTCACACTGCCATTAGGTATAAGATTCATTGGATTTCATAAAATATGCAATTTAACACAAAATAGGTCCCCAGATTCAACCCAATTGAATAGAAACAAAATTGGTGTACCTTAGCATAAGTTGTTTTACATTGAAGTTCATAACTTGAACCCTTCTTTTTATCTTTGTGGATGTTGTTCTTAGTTGGCTAGGGTGGAACTGTCAAAGAGTTATCGGTGTATATTTTATGTTTGCTTTTACTGGGGAGACAAATCGTTCCCATAAACGTGATGGCCCCTGATTTATTGCCATTTTGTATATTTTATGTTGCTTTTACATTCTTTTTTTTGCAACTTTGTTCATTTTAGTTTGATTGGCTTTTCTTTGGCAAATATTAAGTAGGATGCAATTCTTTTGGCTGTTAGTATGTTTATCAATGTCTATCTGGCCTATATGGCTGTATGCCTCGTATTAATCCTTTTAATTTTTGTGCTATGCTTGAGGTTTTGTCCCTAAGACAACAGCTATTCCTGGCATTTATAAGTTTTTACCGTTTTATTGCTTAGACTGAAACGAAGGGTGAAGCAACCTTGGTTGGATTTGCGAGTCATGGTGATCATTTTAGCCCAGGTTCTGTTCTTGAAGCTTCATTTTCAAATGATAGTTGTGTTTCCAGCAGCCTGGATGAGAGCTTAGGTAAAGAACTTAAATCCTAAGCCTCAAACAATACCCTTTAATTTTCCTGTGTGTGCTACTCAATTCTTGGTATTGTAGTTGTAGAAAGTGCAAAGTAGATGAGGTCATACACAGCGCTGATTAGATCGGCTTGTAATATTCTGCGCCACCTCAATTTATTTTGCTTTTTCAAATCTCCTTTCCTTCCTCACAAAGAAGAATGGATGATTCATTGTAGATTTTGCATATATACTTCTTGTTCCAGGACATAGGTTGCATCTGGATTCCATGGACTATTCATATGATGAGCCACAACCAACAGAACTTGATACAGATCTTCTGGATTCTGCAACTTCATTGGACAAAGAGATGAATGGTAATGAGATGGTGACTGATCTTGTCAACCGAATTTCTGCTATGTTGTGTGTCATCAGTAATGTCGGTCTTGGATTATCTGGAGACAAGCTTATCCATGTAAAGGAGGCTATCTTGAAAGCAGAACTGTTGTTTGGAAATGTGACTCCCCGTGATTCAGATGGGACAGACGATTTTCTCTTGGGGCCCTATATACATGATGAAGTTGAAACTCTTGCTGGTGCCATGTGGGTAGATTTTAGTTCTCTTCTTGGTGTTGATCAGAGTCAGACCAAAGAAAATAATCAGCTTAGAGTATTTCTGTTTGACTGTGCGATAGAGTGCCTAGATTCCAAATATGGTCGATACTGTAACTCTGGATTCAGAGCATGGAGAAGTCTGCCATTTTGCATGAACTCAGGAAAGCTAATTCGAGATGTTGATGGGGAAGTTAGAAGGTGGACAAAGTTGGCTGGGATGGTTCCTGATGAAATAATAGAATGGGAGATGAGTAATTCACTGGGTAAATGGACAGATTTTGATATCGAGGCATTTGAAACTGGTGCTGAAATGGACTGGGATATTCTTCAAAACTTAGTGTTGGAAATTGTGGTAGACCTGGTTTCCCCTTGAATTACGTAGGCCCTGTGATTAGTGAGTATCTGTTGTAAATCATGTTGACATGCAACCACTTAATTCTCTCTGTGATCAAATCAAGATGGTAATTATTTGAACAAATGAGTTATGGATGAGGTGGTGGGGTTGCTGCCTGGAGCTAATTGATTTTGTAGATGAGCATTGTATAATCTTTTTTCTTTGATGTAACTTGTTCTGAATAGCTGAACAGCTTGAAACGGTCTGATGATTAATGTTTGCCTACTGAAGTTGGAAGGTAAAGATCCTTTCATTTGATATTTTCTTCTGCAACTGTTTTGCCTTTCATGTTAGTGACTATTTGCTCAGTTACTTCCAGGTTCAAATAAATAAAAATAAATAAAAAATAGAAGAAAAGAAAACCTCTCCTTGTTCATTTTGGTCTTTTTCTTTCTAATGACTTCAGCAGCAAAGTTAAAGGAAATTAATTGTGTACATATTGAATGTTTGGCCCTGTCTATATTCAATCTTAAATTTATTGAACAAGTTAAAGTTAGACTCCACATTTTTGTCAAAGAAAGATCAACAAACCCCATTACGAACAGCACAATTTCAAATTGCAGATGGACAAAAAGTCTTCAATAGAATCCTCTAGTTAATATTACTAATCATATATGTTAAAAACATGATTTCATCCAATGCTTTACAATAGAAAACAAACTTAGCAAGAAAAGAATTCATAGCCTCAAATCTCTCTGACGTGGTAACAGGTAATCAAATCCTTGTAAAAAGACAAATCCAATCAAGAAACTCAAGAAAAACTAAAATGAAATGAAATTCAAAGCTTTTTCTCAAAACTGTCTATACCCCAAAACAGTTTTGTTGTTACCGACAACTCTGCCACTACTCTTCCCTCCCCTGTTTTCACCACATATAGCATTCGCTGCAGCCATTGAAATCCCTTTCAATTCTTCAACACTAGCGTAACTCTTCCTAGCCATCATCAACCCTCCTTTCTTCTCCCCTGCATTTGCAGACTTACTCCCCCGCGAATTCGATAACGGAACCCCATTTCCTTTCGACCAATTCTTCGATGTTGGTGGTGTCAATTCGATCCCACTGGTAGCCGGCTTTCTGTTCTCTTTCCTCAAAGTTGCTGAAAAATCAGGCACTGATTGAGCCAAGATGGAGGACCCTTTCCTAGAACTCCCCAAACTTGGACAAAACTTCACTTGTTTCTTTGTTGGGGTTCGTTTAAATTCAATTTCTTCACTCTCTTGTTGCTTTGCACTCTTCACCCTCAGCTTTGTTTCTCTCAACTCTGCATATGCTCTGTATCTTGGGCCTCTTTCCATGATATAACTCTCCGTTGTAAGTCTCAAAGGAATTGGGTTACTGGGGCTTGAATTTTGAGAAAGAATGAGAGAAATAGGGTCAAGGGAATGAAGAAGAGATTGCAAAGCAGGATTTGGCTGGTGGATTTGCCGCAGAGAGTCACTTGTCTCTGCCATTCTTTAATAAAAGTTTGAAGGTTTCCTCAACTTTCTGGTTCTGTTTTTGCAGAGAAAGAGAGAGTTGAATCAGAAAAAATGGGATCCTTCTTTGTAGATTTGATATTAAAAGGAATTGGAGTTTGCAACGGTCTAATAAAGAGAGAGGAGGAGAGAGGGAAAGTCTAAACACTAGTCCTTCCCCTTTTTACTTTTTTCTTTCTTTGTTTTTGTTTATTTATTATTTAATATTCCTTTTTTTTTGGTTCCAACGTTCTTATTTTGAAGTGGGTCCCAATACAAAAAATGAAAATAAAAAAAAGGGGGTTGGGGGAACACATTGGATACCCTATCAGCCGTTGATCAGACAGAATCACATTGATCGGCATATTTCTATGATGGGCTTTCCCCTTTGGGAACATGGGGAAAGGTTCCTCGGCTTGGGCTAAAGCAGAGTGCAAAATAAAATTAGGGTTTATGAAAAGGACTTTTTTGTTGTTGATTTTAACAAAAACCTCTTTCACCGTAGCGGCAGTCTCAAGGCTTTACATTTGGATCCAAGTCATGTGTCCTCCCACCCTGATCCATCCAATTCCCCCTCATTTTCCTTTTCCTTTATCATTATTATTCTCATAATATCGAATATTGAAAAATAATAATAATTATATAATATAAAACGTAAAAAATTTTTAATCTCCACAAATGGGTTTTCCAATTAATAAATATTTGTTTGGATAAAATTAGGTACAATAAAGAGTTAGACCAGCATGCAAGTAGAGAATGATTTCAATTATGGTTAAAGCTAAACAAAAGATGCGAGTGAAAAATGGAGATTTTTCAACTTTGATAGCAATAATTAATTACCATTTTTATCTTTATTTTGGGGTTCAATAATGGGGTGCAAACTTAATGTGATTAAATGAGGCTCTTCCCCTCCTCTTACAGGTGAAAGGTAGTGCCTTGTCAATCAGCTGTCTCCTACTAGTATTCAGATGCCTCACCAAACCCCTGAATAAAGGGTGATGTTAGAATACCACCGCATTTCAGACATGATCTTTAACCTTTTTATATTGGGGTAACAGCCACCCACAAAAAGCAAATTTAGGTATGGGGACTGGATTTTGTATCTTTCTGTTTTTTGCCACCAGGATGATCAACTCCATGCTGTTGCAAGTGTAGGAAATGGAAGCAATGGCTTCCAGAAGCTGATATGATAATAGACCATTTCTGAAAATCATTCAGCTCTATACCACCACCTTACCATTTCGTGAAGACTACAAGAAAACTTTCAAACACATTGTCACCTTTTAAATTTATCAAAAAAGGGGAAAATGGGGGCTTTCTGGATGCTACTAGTACGATTTAAATGGTTACACTTACTGCAGCAATACAGCTGTTAGTGTGAGGAAAGTCGAAGGAAACTTCATCTCACACGTAACTTTTGATATAGTCGAACAAGTTGAATCTTGTTTCTGTATGATCAAACTTTGTGATACTTATACTTCTGTCCTAAATTAAATTTTGTGATTTTGTGGCTGAATCCATTGAGCACTAGGGTCCTCACAGCCTCAACTCCTTGTTCCAATGCTGCATCAATCTGTCAAAATGGTGAACAACAGTTCACATTATCAGAGAGAGAGAGAGATACAAACTTAAAAATTAAAACAGCCAACTAAACTGCCTAACACATCTCATCCAAGTTTAACTTATTTTATTTTTTAAAATTCAATTGAATCAGATATAACATACTTAATAGAAAATGTATTGCATTAATTCTGAATAGGAACTGTGAAGGGACAGCCAGTATAATTATGAAGAGCTAAGTTTCCGTTTGAGCATATAACTCATTATACATGCTGAGGGAAAACACCGATGCAACCCAACATCACTTTTCTTACTGTAATTCAAGAGATAGGCAAGAGGCAACTAAACCTTAAAGAATAGTTGAATCAGTAATAGTATACCTCTGCTTGATTATTGTGGTCTTTGTTGATGCAGGGAACTGTTTTACTGTCAGGTGTTTATCTTTTCATTGTGTTCATTGTATGACGGTTCCTTTTGTGTGCAAGTGGCTAACCAGATGTTAGTGGGGTTGGCTGTTTTCACTCTGGGTGTATAGGGTGGTTTTCTTTCTGAAAGCATACAGGGAATTTGACAATGAGAGAATTTTGTAATGGTATACCCCTGCTCCTTAGGTTGGGCATAACCTGGCAAAACTGTTTTAAGTGGTGAACTTAGGTTCTCCCTTTCTTCAATACAAAAAAATTTCAAAGGAAAAAGTAATAGTATACCTGATTTCGCTCCACTGAACTGAACTTCTGCAGAAGATAAGCTTTCATGTCCATACTGCCAGGTGGATTTCCAATGCCTGAAGCATAAATAACTATATGAGAAATATGGAACTGTGAATTAGTGTAGGCAGCTAATCTACCTCTAAAAGGAACTTCTGTTTATGATGCAAATACTTCATTGTTAAGAAAAAGGTGATGGTATTCCAAGAGCCCACCTATGCACAATCGAGGAAATTCACGACAACCATCCAAATGGCCCATCACACTCTTCACTCTGCAACAAGAGAACACTAGTTCATGTTTTTGAATCTACATTGTTTAAGCGGGGAGAAAGGTGAAGATGCACTTTAAGAAACAGAATTTGAGATTTATTCATGAGTCCTTTGCATAAAGGTGTAAATACAAACTAATATTACTCAAATCCATAAGATCACAATAGCTCAACGAAAATTTGGAATGACATCAAGGTAGAAATGTTTTGGCCATAGCTGAGATATGTCAAAGCAACCAAGCCCTTAATTACTTAGTTTACCAAGAATACAAGTTAGAATGAAATGATATCTACACTAACCAGACTTAAAACTCCTGACTGAATGGAAGGCAATGAGGCATAATAGAAACCAAAAATGACTCAAACTATCAACTGCATATGACTGTAAGCCTCATCTTAAATTTGGTTCTAATTTCAGAATCAAAAGCATTTGCAAGTTCACTCAAACCACGGAAAGCATCAAATACATGAAGCCAAGTTACGATTATTAGATCAGATAAAATACAACCAATTACGCCAAGTCTTGGACCTGTGCTTGGTATTCACATGTGGTTTCTTGATTTAGTACTGCTTAGGTCTAGACTCTTGTTAGACCATCACTACTATATTTTTCTGGCCAAGCTAGTAAGGCCATTGTTCGTCACTAAATAACATGCTTTCATGCCATATTTAATCAATGGGAAATGGCAGAACAATCTGATGGAAGCAAAAAGGATATTGAAGATCCCAAACTAGTTACATGCTAGTTTTTCACTGGGTTGAAGGTTAAAATGCAAAAAAAGCCATGGCATCCCAGGATACGACATTCTTACAGAGCAAATATTATGGACAAAGTAAGCCATCTACAAAGTAATATAGCAACTCATTATCTACTATTGAAAGAAATTTAAGGGTATCCTAAGCCTCTAATAATTGGAATATTACACGTCCCTTGAACTACAGTTTCTTTCAAAAGGGGAGAGGGGAAGAAAGAGACCAAAAAGGTGGATTCTGACATACTTTTACACTTCTCTCCTCTCTTCGTCTCCCCACTAGAAAAGACATAAGATCAACATTCCTTTTTTTTTTAATGAAAAAAGGCTATACAGGAGAAGCAGTATTCTATTTTCATCACCATAAAGGCTAGTAGTCTATCGTTATCACCATTAGACAGACACAGACACTAGAATATGATGGAAAAATAACACAGCACGCAGGAATGTTTTACAAATCAGGAGAAAGAGCCTTGAGCTCAAAAAATGCAACTGCTTGAGCAGCAAATTAATCTCAGGACAGACATCTCATCCACTAGGCATTTTTCTCATAAACGTTATCTAAGTAATCTTATCTTATAGCTATTTGGTTTCAGAAAGGTAAAGGTTCATGAATTAGACAGATGAGCTCCAAATACTACTTCAGAAGTTCTTGAATGAAAAAGAAGTTTCTTAAACAACACAGTTAGGTTCATGAGTTAGACAGATAAACTTATATGCTGCTTGAGAAGTTATTGAATAAAAAAAGGCTTCTTAAAATATCCAGCTTGGTGCAAAGGGAGACTTATAGAGATTCTGTCACTGGTAATATCTATGGAACATACCCATTATGATGACCATGTCCTCCTTTCGGCTGAAGCCTGAGAACACCATTTGGCAAGCTCATCTCATCATATATCTACATGGGAAACCTCAAAGTCAAAGTGTTCTGAATATTTGTAATAATAGTGATAAAAATATATATGTTAAATTTCTTCCGCTTGATGGGTATGTAAGACTGCCTACCAATAAAATGTGACGCAAGGGTACTTGATAATAAGCTGCAAGAGGCCCAACCTTAACAATAGTAAAAGGAAAGGAAAAGTTAGAGATAGAAATAATTAGGTGGCTTATATATATCATGAAAATCTCACTCCAAAAAATGAAAAAGGATGCGGGAGAAGCTATATATTTATATGAGAGAGAGAAAGACACATCACCATACATTTGCACACACATTCCTTATTAATCGTCACATCTTAAATCAGCATTGTGATATGCTTATTTAGCTGCCTAGATGCCACTACACGTTTGATCACAAAGACATAAAAACTTGAAAAATGATATACCCTGTACCCACATAAAACCTGTGCCACTGCTTGAAAAATCCCCCTCCAATAAACCACATTAATTTGGCTGTTGAAGGGTTGCCTAGCAGGTAGAGTCCATAAGACAGGATTAACCATTACATAAAAACCTCTGTCACTGCTAAAAAAATCCCCTCAAGTAAAACATTAGTTAACAAAAATGAATTCAGGTGTTTCAGTGTAGTCTGGCAGCATATAAAAGTCCAGAATACAGGATTAACCAGAAGTACAAAGTGGAAGGTCCTAAACAATAAATACAAAATGAAACAGGGTAATTTACCTATCAATCAAATTTGAGTAGGTACATGGGTTGACAGTCAGCACAACTTAATTTTAATATGATTCTCAAGGCCTACAATTATCTAGTAGCATCTAGCAGAATCGATCACCTGTTTATCCCTAATTCAAACATGCACGATTTGAAATTCAGGACACATGTTAAAGTGAACAGCTTAGACCTTATACACTCATTGTGAGCTGCAAGTTTCCAATCACTTTTCTGCTGCTTCCAATAGAGATGAGGCTAATGCATTTGCCTTTTCAAGATCAGGAGGTTGCTTAACTACTTAAATTATAGACCAAAAGTTGACTGTCTAGAGTAAGTTTTGAAGTGACAATTTGCTCGTCCAAAATGTCAGTCATGAACTACTTAAACACTCACTCTAAGCAGTAAAGTTCCAATCACATTTTAGCTGCAGCTAATCCATGAGAATGCAACCACTTGCCAAAGAGACTTTCCAAGTGTATCACCTCATTTTGTAGCCTTGAAGGTCAGGCGGCAATTAGTAAAATAAGATAGAAAAAAAAGAACTGTTACATGAACTGTGAGAGTTGCTGTAATACGTCTCCATACCATATAAATTCAACATTGCAGGCCTATTTCTACCAAATTTCAAGAAGAACTTTCCATTTCTGTAATTTTCTTTCCAAACACTCCCCTTATTCATAACAAACCTTAATTAAGGAGAAAAACAGGGATCAGAATAGAATCTCACTAGCACTACTGGAGTTGTTTTGGTACCAGGAATTGAGGTGATATATCAATTTTCATTGCTGGCATTGATGAAACAACCAATTTAGCTTGCAAGATACACAATTCATTGATATGCCATTAGCTAGAAATAAATTAGTGGCATTGAAGACACTACACAGTAATTTGTCTTTGAACTCCTAAATTATATAATGAGATTAAAATGAGTTCGAGTTTTATTCAGACTCATAACCCCTGTTCCATTTCATGAGGCATCTACAAAAAGGTTTCTTGTCCACGAATCACTGTCCTCAAGCTATCTGGTGGAAAATGTGCAGCCAATTCAAGAAAAAGGCATGACTACAAGCTGTTTCCAGCCACGTTATAAACAAGTGCAGATGTCTTTGTTTTACTAACCAAAATTATGGGGAGCTTCTTCAAAAGGACATATAAGTACAGCTGATTTGATACTTCATAAGCAAAACTTATACCCTGCTTTATAGAACTGAGATGATAAAAGGGGAAAGCAAAAGATATGAGGACTAACCGACTCCCCACTGAAATTCATGTATGCCTGAGGCTTTGCCAACAAAATTGGTACTTCCCCAATGGCACCTGTGCTGATCACACAAGGAATCTAAGTAAAACATCAATCATAACTGTGAATCTGGAAAGACAAAAATGCACTGATTCCAGGCACCAAAAAAAAAAACACAAAGAAAAGAAAAGACCTTAGCAACATAAATGCTAAAAATATATATATACCTAATCCAATTAGAGCTTTTGACTGTATGGTATTCAATGCAATCCCCTCCACTCGAGAAATTTGATCAATCATCTCAAAACCAACCTGATGTATTTAACAAAGTAAAAAACATATAACCCAAAAGAAAATATAAGCTACCTGCTTCATAATTTGTAATTGATTACATTGTGCCGAGTTCCATGGTACTTATTTCCAGGGTTACCCAGTCCAACAATCAACCAAGGTGTATACTCCACTTTAAATCCATCATTATTATCCAGCAACGAAGCACGCACACAGAGCCTTGTTGAGCCTCTGTTCCTTTGACCAAAACACCGGCTTCTTGGGTACAAAATGCAAGTGTTTGGGACGGAGATTGCATGCAACATTGACCTAAAAGAGCATAGTACAAACTATTTATTCATAAAGAAATAAAAACAAATATTTGGTCTTCTGTTACTTGTTCTTCGTTTATCTTAAAACTCAATCATAAATTCTAGTTTTTTGTAAATTATAATAGCAAAAAGGAAATTGACAATTCATTACTTCGTTTCATTGCACTTAAATTTCTACATTGTTTTCAATAGCCAAATTAAGCTTGAACCCGATAATGATAAAGAACAACTACTACTACTGAATAGAACATACAGTTAATTAAGCAAACTAAACAAGAAATACCCAAAACAAAGAAGAAAACTTTAGAACTTAAATGCTGAATAACTAAGATAAAGTCACTGCTCTCTAGTTGGTACTTAAATACCTCAAAAAATATCTCCAAAATGGAAGAAAAAAAAACACAAGAGCAAAAACATAAATTAAGGAAAACTGATGTATAGAAATTAGAAGTGAATGGAATAAAGTTAAGGAACTGACCTGTTTGTCTATTGGGTACTTCAATTCAATAATAATAATAATAATAAAAAGCTGACAGAGAGAAAAGGAGAGGAAAGAGCTGAGTTCAGTTTGAGGCTTTGGTCGTTTCTTTTACCTTCTGTGGTTAGATATTTCATGTTCGGATGATTGACATAAAAAACATGAATATTATGAACAAACTGGGCCTCCTATAGATAATTTGGGCTTAGCCCAAATTCATAAATTTGGTACAATATTTATAGAATAAGGTACAATGTTTATAATTAAAATTTTTAATTATAAAAAAGTTAGTTGATTCTTATTTGAAAAAAATAATATTTCAGGTTTTAGTAGAACTGAAATTTGTGACATAGTAGGACAATATGCAATTGTAATTAAGCGAATTAAATTTTACACTACTGTATCCATATCATAATTGCTATGCAATAAATGTAAAAATATATTAAGATTTTAATAAAAAATATTACTCTAATAATATTCATATTTATTTGATTATGACACAAAAACATTTTTTTTCTGACGTAAGTTGATGTGATGAAATATAAAAATAGAAAACCCAAAGGTATAATAATTTGTGCATAATGATCCTTTAAATTCAACATTTTTTCCTTAAATTTTGGGGAAAATACAAAAAAAAATATAATAACTTTTTTCTCCACTTCGTTTATCAAAAAAAACTTCGCATCTGTGTAATAGCTATATAAACTTCCCGTTTTTTATTTATGAGCTCCAACTGGAATCTTAAATTAGATAGTGAATTAAGTTTATAGATTAAATTATGTAATTAGTTCTTATATTTTATCAAAGTGATGAATTTAATCTTTGTATAATAATTTGTAAAAATTGAATCCTTATACTTTTAAAAAATGACAATGGCAATCCAATGGTTAATGATATTAACAATTTTTTATAATCTATGCTAATATAGTGTTTGGCTGTATTTATGTGGCATTTGCTTATTAATACAATGTTAAATTTGATGACAAGGTAATGATCATGTGACATTTCATAAATGATGTAATAGTAATATTGACATAATGTGATCAAGTATTGACATAAATTTTATATAAGTGTTGAGGAGGGATTATTTGATGTGAGTTTGCCATGTGGAATTTATTAGTACCAAATGGAAATTAAGAAAGCCTAAACTACGCAAACATGCCCTAAACATAAAATTTATGTAAATCTTTTTTCATATCAACAAGTTGGTATTTGGGTAGTTTAAACTTTCCTTTTAGATTGATATTGTTAATTTTGAAAAGGATAATAATTTAATTTTTATAAGTTATTATATAGGGACTAAATCTACCACTTTAACAAAGTATATAGACTAATTGCATTATGAAATAGAAAATAAAGAGCATTGCCTATTATAGCTTAGTACTCAATAAGTATATATATTTATATACCAAAAACCAAAAAGCTAAATATATTATATATGATGGTGTGTCGAAGAAATTAATAATAAACTAATTTATTATGAAATGCATAAAAAACCTAAGATCAAATCTTACATTCACACATATTTTGGAAGTAGATTGGCAAGAATTATTTGGGGACAGACAATCTTAAACCCTCATGATCCATATGGTATTATTGCCTAAGTAATAAAAAATTGGTGTATTTGGTAGGAAACTTAGGAAGTTAATCAAAAACTCATATCCCAAAATTACTTACAAAGTTAAAAAAGAGGTGGTATAATTATGATTAGATTAAAATATTCTTCATTGTATTAATCCCACCGGCAACCTTGTTCCTTGCTACCAAAATATAGGTGAAGTTGGAAAAACCAACAATTGTGATGATGCCCCAACAATTAATGTGCCAACATACTAAACATGTAAATTGTCATCCGGGATTGCAAAATTATTCTATGAATCCGGAAAGACAGTTCATTACAAAACATCAGTATATGATACATCAGGCTAACAATCAAAGAAGAACAATCCCTCTAAATATGGAAGGTCATCCGTACTAGAGAGATGGAATAAATTCAACTCAATTTTACGGGCACATCCCCTTATTCAGCTGAGTTGCTATTTCGGTTGTTGTCATATTGACTTCCGTGTGCAGAGTTAAACTCAATTTTTTTTTTTTCAAAATACTTAATACTCGCTATAATAGATTAAACTAAGGGAAACAAGGCTGAAAATTAAAATAGAGCAAAATCCATATATATATATATATATAATTGCGTTACTCAAGAAATAAAGTTCACAGAGATGATTATCATCAAAAATTAGAATACCAAAAAACTTTACATGTCCAAAGCACTCCAATTTTATAAATTTGAAGTTTGATCAAGCCCCTTGTATTGTATATATATTTAATCATGGCACAGCCGGCCCAAGACTCAGATGCAAATCCAAACCTAATCCCTGATCAATCTTAGGCCCACCATCTTCTCCGGTGAACCGCATCACCGCCGGTAAAACTCCGGCATGAGCTCGGACATCACCGGACATCGCCGCCGCCATGGTGCTCTCCTTCTTCTGTATATACACGCCGTCCAAACCCAGCAGCCGGCCCACAAGGTACGTGCCACCATGCAACATGTGCAACGGGCCGCTGCGGGGCTCCTCCTCCTCCTCCATGTGACATGTAAAATGAAGAATGATACTGCGGCGATGCAGATGCTGGAACAACGGCCTGGGCAAGGAGGTGTGGCGGAGGTGCAAAAGCCGATATCATGGAGCTGTGCAGGTGTTGAGATGAGAAACTTCGACTAGCCTGCAATTGTGCACGTTTTAGTAGCTGCCTTTCCTTCTTGTGAGCATTTTGGTGACCCCCTAAGGCTTGAGAGTTAGCAAATTCCCTGCAACAATATTGACACTCGTATTTACGGGCATCGGCGTCGAGTTCCGGTGATCCCGTCGGAGATTTGATCGAATCATTGACGGTGTTTTCCACTATGTTGAAGCCAAAGAGCTTCAAGGGTTTTGCGTGGCAATCAACATCATTATCAGCCATGGGAAAAAAAAATGATCAGTAATAAAGAAATTCTAAGGCAGTTTGAAGCTCTGTCAGGTTTCAACCAAGTACTGATGCAAAGCAATAATCAGCTGGTGGGGTTTCATGAGCTAAACTTATATAAAGGGTAATTTACTTGAAAGGGAGAGAAGACAGGCGAGAAAAAGGAGAGAGTTGGTTGCGACTTGTGAAAATAATCCCAAGAAGGGGAAAGCAAGATTAATGCCCAGAGCAAGAAAACTAAATTAGTCCCCTGGGGGATTTTATACTTGAAAAAGCCTTTGTCATGACTCTAATCTTATTGTTGATTAATTAAACCTGTATTTTTACATATATTTTATTGGTATCCAACTGTTGGGAGTTTTTAGTTTCAAGCTGGATACGATTATAAATTAATTAATTACCTCTCACATCAAAGCTCCATGATGCACGTGTAAACACTGTGTTCTGCACGTTTAATTTCTCAATCCAACATTATAATCCGGATCAGATATCCATTACTTAATTAACAATGTAATAGGTTAAGGATAGAGAGATGTTAAGGAAATTAAGTTAGGTTGATGAATCAAGTGTTGCGCCGGCGGGGCCACCGTGACGCACAGCGTTTGATATTATAATTCGAACATGTTTGCGTGATTGACGTTGAAATCTAAGCTTTATTTATTAAGTGAAGATCTTTACGAATCTTACTAACCACCATAAATTGGGGGAGGGTTTAAAGTAAAGCCTCTCTGTCTCTTTCTCTTTCACCCCCAAAGTCTTCACCTTAACTTCCATGACTTTGAGTCATCACCATAAATTATTTAGCCTTGTCTCCTAGTGGTCTGCAAAATTAATTACAAAAATAGTTATAAAGGAATTGTTCCTAAATTTGTTTCTAGTTGAATATGAAATATTTTCACTTAATTTGAATATTACAAACTATACTTTAATTTTAATGTATTTAACCTTTTTTTTTATAAAACAAATTTTATAACAATGATATAATTTTGAAAATATTAAAAATTAATACAAAATTTAATTAAAGATGTCCAATTGTTGAAGAAATTGGCATGGAAAGTTAGCTTTTTGTGTTAATAGTGGGATTATTGGATATTTCAAGATTATTTTATTATGTATGTTTATATATATTTAACCCATTTTGATTAAAGTTGTCCCAGGCATGTGTAAGAAAAAACTGTTACTTTCCCCTTCTTTATGTTGCACGGTATCATGATTGCAACAGAAATTATAGACATTCCATTTTAAGAAATGGATCAAAAGTCATAGCCATAATTGACATCAACATACAAACTTGGATTTGTAGATCAAGTTGCCGAAATTCGAAGCTGAAACTGATTCGGTTCATGCACCTCGCTTTAATATGTGCCATGGGATTCATCCATCATGTTTTAAATACTAACCAAGCACACCGATTTCCAATAGCAAATTTAAAATCTTCTCTTTAAGATATAGGTTAAAATACTCTAATCTTACTGTTTTTTTCCACATTTCTCAAAAACATTTATATCCTTTTACTATACTTGACTGAGCTTTTAAAATATTATTTTTATTTTAATTAAATTTTTATTTTACATAAAAACAACTAAAAGAATCGGTTAATTTTGTCATGTCACTATTTGCGTGGGCTTTATCTTTACCACATGGATGTCCACATGGCAAAATATAAATATTCATGTTGATTTAGCACTTACGCGGCATCTAACACTAACTTACGTTTAGAGTCTTGTTTTTCACAAAATGGGTCGTGTAGATTTTTATGGGGTAAAGATAACAGATACTAATTTCTTAAATATAACAATTACAAATAATAATAATAATAATGGATTTTAGGAATTTTCATTTAAAATAATGATTTAATTAAATAAACTTATATTTCAAAGATTTAATTCAGTACAATAAAAAAAGATAAGGATTTAAGTGAAAATTTTAAAAATGTACAGGAGTTTTTATAATATTTTAGCCTAAGTTATAGAACAAATTTTTATGTATCCCATGTGTCATAATGTACTCACTCTATGCATAAATATTCAAAAAGACATTTCTCATAAGTATATTTTTTATTGTCAAGTGTGTGTATATACATATATATGTGTGTGTATATATATATATATATATATATAGAGAGAGAGAGAGAGAGAGAGAGAGAGAGAGAGAGAGAGAGAGAGAGAGAGAGAGAGAGAGAGAGAGAGAGAGAGAGAGAGAGAGAGAGAGATATGATAAACTTACTCAACATGCAACAATGAGCATATATATCTCAAAGAAAATCAAAAGATCTGCTTATAATCAATCTGATGTGTCTTTAATAATTTTAACTTGCAATATGTAATTTAGTTGTTTCTCTGCATGCCTTGTGACAGTACTCTTCAATCTATCACCTTGATTGTGGAATGAGGATATAAGAAAATATATATTTGACTAAAAGCAATGCTCATTTTGGCCATGAGGGAGAATAGTTAATAAGGATGATATGATTAAAGCAAAGTCGATTTTGGGAACTAAAATTTAAGAAAAACCAATGATGTAAAGAGAGTTGAACAAAGTAAATATTTTTAAATACTATCTTCTGTTCCTGTCTCTAGCTTACATATATTTCTAATTTCATTATAATTAATCATGACATCATGAGTTATTGCATTATCTTTTTTTGTTTTTGTTGGAACAAATTTCTTCAACTCTTTTGGCTTTGTTGTTTCTTGCTCTTTTCAAATGGTTCCCTGAACTTACCCAAGGATTCACTCTCTGATCAATAGGGAGACAGAAAGATTAGAAAGAAAGAAAAAAAAGAAATGACATGAGAATGCACACTTTTGACATGCTTCATATTGGATTTCACTTTGGCCATTTGTTTCATTTCCACTAAGTAAACACTTGGATTTTTTCCCTCCTTGCTTATCTTTCTCAATCTTTTGTGTGCATCCAAGCAAAGGCTATATCATTGTGCTCCAAATCCCCAACCAAACCAAGTAATTGTGTTTGTTACTTAGGTGATTTTCATTCCGCATAAGTTTAGTGTTGTAAGATAAATAGTAAAAGCAAATTGGGTTCTATTAAAAGCAACCAATAGTAAAAGGTATATTGAATAATATACCTTTTCATTTGCTTATCTCAGGTTTTGAATTCTTAATTTTTGAATTTTTTTTTTTTTTTGCTTTCAAGTACTCTTATCATTTTTCTATTCTTTTCTTTTTTATCAAATTAATGAATAATAAAAATAGCAACAAAATGACCCTTAAACTGCACTCGAAGATCATATATCGTATAATATTCAAAGAGTTGTGTGCTAATTCTCCTCTTTTTCAAAAATATATATAAAAAAATTGAAACCTTAAAACATGTCAAAATTGTATGGACTTGCTCATCAGTTAAACTAATTATAGTTAGATATGCCTAATCCATTTTACTTACATGAAATTTGGTACTTGCTCTTCCTCTCTCTCTCAGAAAATTTATAATTTATTTAAACACCAGGATTGAGTCTAAGCAGCAAAAGCATATACAGTTTATTGTCCATCTAGAATTCTATAACCTTGTCCCTACTCCCTACCTTCAAACTCTTCACATCATCTAAGCTAATGTGGTCCCATGCCAAAACCAGTTCTTTGATTTACTTGGACAAAAGGAATATCCCAAATTATATACACATACAATATAAACATACATAAATAAATACATATATATTATTTATGGAGTTATCTTGCCATGTATGCATGGATGAAACTTATATAAATGGAATAACCCACATCCGCTCTTTCTTGCAATCATAGAATTATATGGTCTCTTTTCCACATTGTTAGTTCATCAGCAGCTATTGCCTGACAAAGTCTTTTTCTTGTAATAATGCCTCCCACCTAATATGCACTCTTTAATTAATTAGTTAATTAAGATCCAGGTTTCGTGCTTTTCTTGTATAATTTGATTGAAGTAGATGTTTACATTTAGAATTGTTTAAATCACCAAACATGGCCCACACCAAGTTGCACTTCAAGATGGGAAGTTTTTTTTTTACTTCAATATAGAAAGTTCATAAACATAAGATTTATACTCTGGACATGTCTTTTGTTTCTTTCTTGGTGTTTATCATATGTACATCACATTGACTTTAAGTATGATTTGTGCTTTCCATGGATGAATTCAAGGTACCTTTTATATCTCCCATTTATTGTGATTAAGTTCTAACCTAACTTCATTTCATGTCATTTAAGATATATTAATTTAAATCTCACTCTCTAGTTTAACCAATAGCTCCCTTGGATCGTGCAACTTGTTGACTCATAGTCTTCAAACTAATAGAAATCATATGTACTTTGGACGGTTCATTTTTCTTTCCACATACATGACTTCAAACCAACCTTTTGCTTAATAGTAGACAAACTAATTATAGGGTTAACTTTCTCACTTAGTAGAGAAAAATTCACCACAAGTACTTAGCATTTCAATAAAATTTCATTTTGATCTCTAACTTTTCAATCGTTCCATTTGTATCTAAAGTTTCTTCAAATTGTTCGAATAATATATTTCCTTTAAATCACCCTAGTTAAAAATAACAGAAATGCTCTGGTGTCAAATGCTTAATTGCCCTCATCCATTTTAAGCAAACCATTTATGTCCGATTGAAGAATCAAATTGTAATGATTTAAATAAAAGAATTGAGGTTATATATGGATCAAAACAAAAGATTATTCAAAGGTTAAGGACCAATAATGCATTTTACACAACTTTTTTTATAACACCCTTGACCTTAACTTTTAGGTAAAGTGGGATTTGATCTCCTAAGCTAAATTAATGAAAAAAAAAAAGAATATTGAGTACAAGAAATACGTAACAGGTTCACCTAATCACTAAGACCAGTTAGAATTAATTTAGAATCCGTGTTGAAATTCAAAACTGAATGCAGTGTAGCTTGTTCACGAGCTGGAGTTTGGTCTAGAACGTGATGACCTAGAAACTTGAGATAATTAAAGTCAAGTTGGTTTAGAGTTTAGACAAAGAAGGACTTAGTCATCATGGCATAATTTTTGTTAATTTCTTAATCGAGAGAATTAGGTTTGCTTAATTCCGCATATTTGGTCAAGTTTGTGAACATAGCAAAACCCTTGGACGGCTACAAACATACATGGATGAAGACAAGTTAGCCGGAGACATGTGTTAAGAGGCTGATTAAACAAAGAATTAATAGTTTGGTTAATTTAAGTAGCATTAATTAATTAAT